GGAGGATGTCTCAAAGCGTTTCACGGCATTCACCGTAGAACGTAGGTGACCGTGTGTTCTCTTCCGAACGCGGCAGCCAAGCTCCCTTTAAACATCACACACAGTCTTGACAGATATGCACACACTCTTCGTTCCTTTTACACTTAAGCAAACGCTGTGAAACTCCGCAAGAGGTGTATATCTGTGTCTGTGGTGATGGCAGGAGGTGTGGGAACACTTTCTCAGGACCCCTTGTTGTTTTCGAACACCGCAATGTCTTTAAAAACCCCAGTGACGCATTCACACTGGGTTCAAAATACAGAAACCTTTCTGTCCTGAGCAAAGTGAGTGAGTGTTCAAAGAGAAACAGGCTGGGCTTGTTCACGCTGAGAATAAAGGCACAGACTGGGCTGATCTCACAAGAGCAAGAGGTTTTATATATTAAAAAACACAGCCTGATACAGCACAGATCAGTGCAGTGTGGGCTCACTGTGTGTCAATGTTAACATGGAGGTGCTTTTCAGCAATCGCTTTCGAACCGGTTTTGTGTCAGGAGCAGCTTTGCTCTGAACACTTCCTTTTTGTTTGTGGGACACTGCTGTGCGCAACTGGCTACCGCGTTTCGCCCACAAAACACACAGTCACTCCACTCCACAGTCCTGTAATGCGCTTTGAGAAGTCTCGACGACGTGATTAGGTGCTATATCGAATGCAAGGGTTATCAATTTAAAAAAAATGATTTCAATCTCACCTCTGGGTCAGCGCCAGGGAGAGAAAGAGGGGACAAGGCAAGGTTTACTTAACTTTCCAAATGTTTTCCTTTTAATGTTAACCACAGTTTACCTTTCTCTAATTCTGTTTCTGCTCTGTGCGTGCAATCAATCCCCCGAAAAAGATCCATCCCTGTCACCAGACATACACACAGACACGCACACACACACACACACACACACACACACTCCATCAAACCCGCACTGGTAATTAGCAGTTGGTGTAAAGCAACTTTGATTAAAGTAAACACACTGTACATTGCAGTGATCAACATCCCATTGCATTTCGTTGTTTCCATGTTAAAACTGGAGGAACGTGTGTGTGTGTGTCTGTGTGAAAACAAATGGTTTGCCGATGCTTCTGGAGACAGTTGCCTGGTGGATGTGATCACGTCTGCTTTTAATTGTACTGATTCATCACTTGGGCAATAAGAAGGGTAGTGTGCGTGTGTGTGAGAGCGAGAGAGAGAGAGAGAGGGAGAGAGAAGAGAGAAAGGGGAGGACAAGTTTATGAGGAGAGTGCGGGGGAGTGGGATTGATTTGGACAGCTCTTTTAAAAGAGTCAGCACAGACACGATAGGCCGATTGGCCTCGTTCTGTGCTGTATGATTCTATGAAAGAGGTGGGAGAGAATGAAGAGAGACCGGGTGAGAAAATGAGAGGGAGGAGAGAGAGAGAGAGCGACATAGAGGGTGAGAGTGCGTGAAGGAGAGCGGACAGTGAGAATGAGAGAGGAGAGGCAGAGAGAGAGAGAGTGAGTGAGTGAGTGAGAGATGGGGGAGAAAGAGCAAAGAGAGGGAGATATGGGGAGGGAGGTGGGGGGATGTGGGTGGGTGGAGAGAGAGAAAGAGAGAGACAAACAGCGAGAGAAAGAGCAAGAGAAGCGGGCGTGTTCCCTTGGGCTCTTGTCTTCAGTCGAGCTGTCCGGGTTGCCAATCGAGGTGCGGTTGGTGGCAGCATCTGTGCTTGGCATTTCCCCCCAGGAGTTGGGGGTGAGGGAGAGGGGGGGGCGGGGGGCTCTGGCAGCAATATTACGCAGGCGCAAACCACTGAACCGCCCCCCCCCCCCCCCCCCACCACTGCTCTTCATTCTCAACAGCTTTTCTTTAAACAGCTCAGCAATAAAAAGCAGAGGGGTTACAGATAAAGAGGGAGCCAAGTTTCTCGCTGTGTCTTTTAATATTAAAACAGACAGCGATCGATGCTGTGCGGACATTTCACTTTTCCATCGAGTCACGGAGGACGAGGGTGGGACGGGGATGTGGGGGGAGGGGGGCGTTGGGGTGGTGGGGGGAGAGAGAGAGAGAGAGCGAGAGCGAGAGGGGAATCAAAACAGCTCGGAGCGACCGGTTCGGGTTAACTAAAGAAATTATTTTCTTTTTAATATATGATAACGCTTTAGGGATCAACGCATGTTTTTAGCCCGAAAGGAAAGGCGAGCCAGGAGGAACGTCCATCCTCCATTCTCGCCCACCCCCTTCCTATAAATAACCCTCTCGGGGGTGTGTGTGTGTGTGTGCGTGTGCGTGCGTACGTGTGTGTTTGTGTGCACGTGATTTTGTAGCCGTGTGTGTTTGTGTGCAGGTGTGTGTGTGTGTGTTTGTGTGTGTGCGGGCATGTGACATTCGGCCAACATGTGTGTGAGGTACCAGGCCTGCAAACATGTGCGGGGGAGTGGGGGGGTGGCGGGAGTGGGGGGATGGGGTTTGGGGGGGGGGGGCGTTAATCCAGCGCAATCACTGATCTCCCAAATTAGCTGAAACCCCATCGAGAAGTGAGTGCGGATGTCCTGACTGAGTATATTTCCCCGTCGGTGACTTCATTTGGGGTGAGGATGGTTGACTTGGGGACGCCTCTGGGGGGATGGGGTGAGGGGGGTGGCGCTGTTCTTTATCCATCGCTCGGGGAATTTGGGGGAAAAACGGTGTTTCCGCACAAGTTCCCCAGGGACACGAGCGAGCCCAATGTACATGGTCTTCTCTTAAGGCCGCGCTTTGGGAGGTAAACCAGGGCCTTACCCCCCGGCATGAAGGGCGTTATATAACTGCAAGTTGTTGTTGTCGTTACTCCGCGTCTCAAGACCCTTCTCTTCGACCGCGCCTTCGAGTGGGGATCACCAGCTCGGGTGGGGATCTGTGACTGTCCAGCGCCTCGGGGACGTCCTCCTGACGTGAAAGGTGTCGCCTTAAACATCACGTGTTGTGGTCGTACCTGTTCAGGCAGAGCCTGAAGATCCTGTGGTTCTTATTTGAAAAGAGAAAGAAGGGACAGCAGGAGAGAAAGAAAGGAATAGAGAGGGTGAAGAGAGGACGGAGAGGGAAAAGAGAGGAGAGAGAGAGAGGGGGATGGGGTGGGGGTGGGGGGGGTGTAGTGGAGAAGAGGGAGAGGGGATTAGAGGGAAGAGCGAGAGAGAGAGAGAGAGAGTCTGACAAAGTTGAGTACATATTGCAGTGGAGGGAAGTTAGAGTACCATTCAGTTAACCTTTCCACAGGCAGGAGTTTATTTATGGGTTTGAAAAAAATGCCTTCAGGACGAAAGAAACCTTTGCGTAACTAACCAGCTAGCGTTCAGCTTCCTGCGATGGAGATATCCTGCGTGTGTGTGTGGTCGTCAAACAGATACAGTTCCAAGGGTGTATTGCCTAAATATTTGGGTGGGGGCGGAGGGATGGAAAACAAGAGTCTTATTATATATCTTTATAAATGACCGTAGCTACTTGCCCAGGAGGTTGGGGGGTGGGGGTGGGGGGGGTGGAGTGGGTGGTGGTGGGTTGGGGGGTGGGGAAGCTCCATCTGTCAGCAAAATTAGCTCTCGATGAGCCAAATGTTTAGCTGCGAGTGGTTAGGATCCTGGTCAGAATCAGCTGAAATGCATTCCTCGCCCCGGCCTTGATTATGGTGAGGAGCTGTGGGGATTTGCTCTCGGACGCCACGCATCAATGCAAGTTGTTGCTGCTGCTGCTGTTGTTGTTGTTGTTGTTTGCGTCGGTGCTATTTTGCGCCGTGCGCTGCACCAAGGAGAAGCGCTCGCGTTTCACCGCCCGGTGACACAGACGGCCTCAGGGTTAGGGTAAGGGATAACGGGAACGTGGGGAAGGTTGAGGGTGGGAGGGGAAAATTATTGTTCCGTTAGCATTCACTCGGTCAGCAAAAGGGATGGACTGAAGCTGTTTGATACCCTTTTCCGTCCAAGCGCCTCGGTACGTCCCTCCCGATGCGATGCAAATGGCATTTGCCGTTGTTGTTGTTGTTGTTGCTTGTGGGCAGCCCGCGAATTGGCTGTTGCGTTCTCCCCCGAAACAAGCGGTCACCCTCGACGCTGAAACCCAAGTGAAGGGCTTTGAGGGGTCCTCCTGCCCGCGATCAGGCACGGTTTTAAGCGTGAAATCTCTGCGCAGTCCAATATTTGTATTGACCTTAAAATTGTGCACGGTTTCTCACGGAAGAGAGAGAGAGAGAGAGAGAGTTCCCGCGGCCGTTCGTAAAGGCGTTCCCGTGCGTGGGCGTGATGGGAAATGAACCGATGGCGGGCGGAGGGCGTCCTCGAGACCCGGTCGACGGCCGGGAGCCTCCAAGAGACCCCTTTTGCCGAGGGCCTCGGAGCTCGGCGGTGTGCGAGACGCACGGTAAACCTCACGTCTCAGCCGTGTCGGTCGGGACCGGACATTTAACATGACTTCAACGCAAGGCGTGGGTCGCGTCAAACCTGCGCGCGAGGTTTAGCTGTGGAGCCGCTCGTCCCTCAAAAAAAGGCCGGTAACGCTCAAAACGGATCCTTTTTCCTTTTCTCTCCTCCAGGTTGTTTTTTTTCACTCCGCGCCATCGCTTTCGGATTCGTCCCCCAACCTCCCCCCAACCCTCCCACACCCCACACCTTCCACCCCCCCCCCCCCACTCCACACCCGGTTGGCTCCGTCGCCTGCTGATCAATAACCCCACCATCACCCCCACCCCACTCCCACACCCGGTTGGCTCCGTCGCCTGCTGATCAATAACCCCACCACCACCCCCACCCCACTCCCACACCCGGTTGGCTCCGTCGCCTGCTGATCAATAACCCCACCACCACCCCCCACCATCACCCGCCGGACTTCACGATGGTTCGGATGACCTCCGACCTCCAGGGAAGGGATCGCCAACGAGAAGGGGCGATAGTGAGCCTTACTGCTGTGTGGTGACCCCCTCCCCAAACTGCCCCCCCACCACCCCCCTTCCACCACCACCACCACCACCTCCTCCCTCACCGGCACAGAGACACTTGATGTCCACAGTGTTTTCGGAGTCTTCGAGGGAGGGAGAGATGGAATGATTTGCCCCAATCGTGTCGGTGTCTGACATTTGAGCGAGGAAGCCATAAAGGGTTGAGGGAGAGGGAGCAGGAGGAGGAAGAGGAGGTGGGGGGGGGGGGCATGGCCAAAGCCTCGGTCAGGTTCCAACGATTCCTCCGGCGCACGCCAATCCTCTTCCTTTTCCTCACCGTGGCCTACCTCATGGCCGGCAGCCTCTTGCTCCTGCAGCGCTCGGGTTTCTCCATCCAGCTAGGCCCTCGAGGGGCTTCCAACGGCCTGTCCTCCCCCAGCAGCGCCCCCAAGAACCCTTTCCTGGAACCCCGCAGGGTGCGGGGGGACGCAGTCCAATGCAGGGCTCCCCAGGCATGGGGCGATACAGCCACCAGCAAAGGAGGAGGCGGCGGAGGCAGGAGGTTTGGGCCTCGTTGGCTCATATCAGGCCACTCGGAGTTGAGGCCTCTAAGAAGGAGGTGGTTCCACAGCTTTGGGAAGGACCAAGAGCCCAGGCAAGGACCCCAGATCGGGACGGTGAAGAAGACAACGGGAAGCAAAGGTATGGTGACTCCCTCCAAACAGGAAAGCTTTCTTTTTTTTCTAATTCCCTCGCTTTCCTGCTCCCTCCCTTGCCTCCTTCGAGGTCCATCTCAAGACCCTCCTCTGTGACCGCACCTTCCTACCACCCAACCCTCCCCTGCCCTGCCCCTCGGCCACCCCCGCCCCCACCCGATCCTAAACCCCAGCTCTGGTCCAAATCCTTGACGGGTCCAGCGCCTTGGGACGGTCCTCCCGACGTGAAAGTCGCCGTCCAAATGCAAGTTATCGCGGTTGTCGAGAGAGGGAGCTCTCCGGGTCTGAGCCACGGGCCACCAGCCGCTTGCAAAAACTGCCGGCTTCTCACAAGTAAAAGGGCGTTGGCCACTGCGTCGAAATATTTGCCCCGAAAAAAAATGCTAAAGGGTTTTACAGAGCACATTCTGAACATCTCCTTTCGATGACAGATTTAGTGGATTAATTGGCATTCACCACGGCGGATTAAAAGCTTTCTTGATGGCGTTTTAATTATCTCTAATAAGCCTTTAACTCATTACTAATTTGGTAAATGGTGTAACGATTTGTCATTTCGGCCCGTTGGCATTTAAAGTGCGCTGTTACAAATTGGGTGCCCATAAAAGTGACACTTGGACAGAGCTAAACCCCCTCCGGTCCAGAAACCCCCCCCTGTGGTCCCCTCCCTCTGTGATTCCTGTGTCTCACTCATTTTCGAGAGGGGATTGGGATGGGTTCCTGAGGACGATGGGGCCATGAGGTTACGTCAAAGACAGGGGCTCAGACTGAACGGCCATTTGCAACCCCGCTCAATCCCCCATTCCTCTCAACGGCGAGCTATTTGGTTTTTAGTTGGTTAGACTCGAGCCGTTACTCCCCCCACCAACGCACACTCTGGGGTCCCCCCAAGCCTTGGCTCTTGCCACCCTGCGCCCCAGCACTTCCCGGGAAGTAGGTAAGCAGGATGGGTGCCTCCAGGGAGAGAGAGAGGGTACGCATTCCATTCCAACAACCGGTCTCTGGAATTTCCATGTGCAGGTGGGATACCTGGAATACCTTGGATACTCTTAACGCACGGTGATGGGTTTCCTCATGTGTCAGACACTTGGCAGACCGGCCCCACCTTCCGCCCACCCCACCTCCCCCCCGCCACCTCCCCCCCACCCCCCCTTAAAAAAAGTGTCTGGAATATTTAATAATAATAATCCTTGCACTTGATGTAACCCTCGTTGAGACGTCTCAAAGCGCTTCGCATAATACAGTGTAAGGTGAGTGGACCGTATATATTGTGGGCGAAACACGGCTGCCAATTGCGCGCCCGGCAGCGTCCCCGCAAACGGTCGTGGAATCGAGTGACCGTTTATTATTATTATTTTGATTATCATTTGAGCCGTTCGAATAGGAGGGGGGTGGGGGGGCGTGGGGGTGGGGGTGGGGTGTGCGGGGGGTGTGAAATCGCCCCTTTGAGAAGCAGCTCCGGCTTCGTAACCCCCAGCGCGATTCAGCCGAGCGGCGGTGGGGGTTTGAGCGAGCGAGCGAGCAAAGCTGCGCCACAGCCCCGTCTGCGTCGGGCTGACATTTAAAGACGACGCATTCATCATCTACTGAGTAATGACTTTGCCGCTCAGTAACAGCAGGGAACAGACTGAGCGAGCGACCGAGGCCAGCTGTCTGCGCTCGAAAATGATGTTTGAATTATTCTGAACAGCCAAAACTCACCTGGAAACTTTGTCGAGCTTCAGCGTTAAATTGCACAGATCATCTCTCTCCCTTTTTTTTTTCTCGCTCTCTCTCTCTCTCTCTCGCCACCTACGTTCTATCTCTTTTTCACTCTTTGTCGCTCTCTCTCTCTCTCCTTCTCCCTCCGCGTCCCTTTTTCTTGCTGTCTATCTATCTTTCTCTGTCTTTCTGTGTCTTTCTCTTTACTTTCTTTTTTCCGTTCATTCTTTTGTTCGTTTTTTCGTACGTTAGTTCTTTCTTTTTTTCTCTCTCTCTCTCTCTTTCCCATTCCCTTCCTCTGCCTCCACCCTTAACACCAACACGAATGCAGCAACATCAACAGCAACTTGCACTTGTATAGCGTCCTTCACGTGGGGTGGGATCCCAGAGCGATTGTGTGACATATCGTGCAGAAGCTTATTTGTCTCTTTACTTCCAGCCACGCACATCGGATGCTTTAGGGATGACTCCAAAGAGAGAGCTTTGAAAGGAGCCGTGTTTTACGACTTCCACAAAATGACAGTGTCGCAGTGTCAGGACAGCTGTGCGGAGAGGTAAAGAGGAGCTTCTGTGTCTCAACTTCTAATGTCTCTCTTTTTTCTGTCTCTCTCTCTCTCACTATCTCTCTCTTTACCCTCTCTCTATCTCTCTCTTTCCCCTCTCTGCTCTTCTCCCTCTCTCTCTCTCCCTCTCTCTCTCTCCTCTCTCTTCTCCTCGTTCCTCCCGTTTCTTACAGTCTAACCTCACGTTTAAATAATAATCCTTGCATTTGATATATAGCGGCTCAATGCGTCGTTGAGACTGTAATCTACTGTAACGTGCAGTGACTGTGTGTTTTTTGGGGGCGAGGAACTGCGGAGTAAGGAGACTTGCCTAAGGTTTCGCCCCGGCCCGGGAATCGAACCCGGATCCTCTCGCTTGCGAGGCGAGCACGCGCTAACCGATACGTTTGCGTTCGCAGCGGTTACCTCTACGCCGGCGTGGAATACGGCGCGGAATGTCACTGCGGCAATCACCTCACCGCTCCCAACGCCAGAGAGGAGGACTGCAACATGGAGTGTAAAGGGGAGAAGCTCTCGGCTTGCGGTGGAGTCAACAGGATCTCAGTGTATCGCGTGGAGGACCTCAGACCCAGTAACAAGCGATGTACGTCCTTTCCTTTGGGGGAATCTGTATCGCGGGATAAAACGCATTTACGACTTCATTGTGTTTATAGGCCAGAATTGTGGAGTCCTGTAGCTCAGCGGTTAGAGCAATCGCCTTGCAAGCGAGAGACCTGGGTTCGATTCCCGGCCGGGGCGAAACCTTGGGCGAGTTCCCTTACTCCACACACGCGCCTGATAATAATCCCTCAAGAAAATAAAGCAATGATAAATTGGTCACTTCAAACCACGACTGTTTGTGGGGGACACACTGCTGGTGCGCAATTGGCTGCCGCGTTTCGCCCACAAATATGCGGTCAATTCACTTTACAGCATATCCTGTGAAGCGCTTTGAGACGTCTCGATGAGGTGATGAGGCAGAGGGTTGTTTTATTGTAAGTAAAAGTGAGGGTTTCCGTTGCTTCAGACAGGAATGTTCTCTATCGAGGCTGTTTCAAGGTGCCCGGTAACCTGACCGCCACTTTCCCCGTCTCCTCGGCGCAGTCGAACCTCACGGTGGCCAAGTGCACGGAATTCTGCACCAAAGAGGTAGGTGGACTGACTGAGCCAAAGGCCTGAAATTCCCACACAGTTTCAGTCCCTTCTTTGGTTCGAAAGTGTAATGCGGGTCAGAGCCACGGGACCTTTGAGCTCCTACAGTTTAGGCCGACGCTACAGTAGGTCGCTGAGACGTTAAACCGAGGAACCCCGTCAGACGGTTTGCCCGCAATAACGTCCCGCAAACAGGCGTGAAATGATCGGCCGATTTCGTCTGGTGTGGGGTGGGGGGGAGCGGGGGAAATTGACAGCAAGGACAACGGCGGGGGGAGAGAGAGAGCGAGAGCGAGAAACTCTTACTTAAATCGTGCCGCTGAGTCTTTTAACGCCCTCTCGAAAAGGGCACAGACTGGTAAAACCGGACGACACGGCCTGCGATTGAAGCGGGTGGGGGTGGGGGGTGAATTCAGAACAAATCTACTTTTCCGTGAGAGAGTAGCAACTGATGGAACGAGGGGCTCTCCAGGGAAGCAGAAAGTCCCGATTCTTTCAACGACAATTTAGATAGATTTCTGTTAGGAAATAATATCGCGGGATGCAGTTTGGGGACACGATGTGTGAGTGCGACTGCCAGGATGGTGGACGACGAACCGGATGGCCCTTGGTATCCTTGGTCGGCCGGCAAATTCTTTTGTTCTCACTGTTTGTCTGGATATGGATTTGAGTCCCATTAATGGAGCGCAGTCAGTCAGCGCTGCGCGCCAGACCACTCTGTCTCTCGCTTTGTGGACAATCACATATTCCACAGCGGCAACTGAAAACCGAAGGCTCATTCCTCTTAAGCTGAGTGCCGGCCCGATCTCCTCTGCTTCCACCGTTGATAAATGTCTCCACGGCGGGTTTGTGCAGGGGGGGGGGTGTGTGGGGGGGAAATGAAAACCAAATCACTTGAGAAACTCAATTCCCTTCCCTGTCGAGAATTTTGACGCGGCAGTTTTCCGGCCAGGCGAAAAAAAAATTCATGACCTGACAGATTTAATGGAATATTCTATTATGATCTTTCCCGGTTAAAATAAAACTTAACTCTGATTGATGGTGGGCCCGGGTAAATTAAGTCAAATGTCGGAACAGTGCAGATAAATAATGGAGAGGTAGGGGATGGATTTAGGTCTGTTAATAACCTTGCGAACACAATCTGGGGAGCGCAGTTAGGAAGCGGTTAGCCCGCTCGCCTCGCCAGCGAGGGGACCCGGGTTCGATTCCCAGCTCGGCAGGTCGACATCTTAGGCAAGTTTCCTTACTCCACGCGCCTCTGTGCACCGAGCAGAACCCGGTTGGTTGTCAGTTGATTGGCGGATTGCTTTCCGGAGGTAATCATTCCTTCAAAAGTAACTTAACCAATTAATAATTTGGTCCCTCATTCCACGACACTGCTGTGTGCAATTGGCTGCTGCGTTTTGCCCACATAATATACTCAACCCACTTGACAGTATATTCTGTGAAGCCCTTTGAAACGTCGCGGAATAAATCAAGTGTAAGCATTTTTATTATTATTATATTATAATCTGACTTTGAAACCGTTGCCCTTAAACTCGCAATGACGTTCACTGTTCCAGTGACGTTCACTCTCAATGCTATAAACAGACGCAGAAAAAAGCTCCCAGAGGAGCCGAACAAATCCATTGTAAGCTTCACCTTCAGACAAATGGTCGACGCCTTCTGAAAGCATCGTTCGCCCCTCCGAAGGGTTAATGTTCGCAGTGAATAAACCATTCTAAGCGGCAGCAAGTCGTTCCAACTTAGCTTCGCCATCAATGCGCGGCATTGTAGGGTTTTCCCCCGCCCCTCCTGAAGTCCGAATAATCCCTCGTGCTTCAAAGCTAACTGGGCATTGAACCCGGGCTTTCATAAAATTAAAGGCTTCTTCGAGGATTCTGGCAAAACAGCCTATTATGCCTCCGTACTTTAAATTCAGTCGGCGAGGCTGCCTGCCCGGTTGGCATTCAGTTAAAAACTTCCGAGGGGTTGCTGGGTGCTCAGTGGAAGTAATCTGTCAAACTTGGAATCTAAAACTTGCACATTTTGGCTGTTTTTACCCTTGGGTGTGTGTGTGTGTGTGTGTGTGTGTGAGTGTGCGTGTATTTGTGTGTAGGAGGAGGTGTGTGTGCGAGTGTGTATGCGTGTGAGTGTGCGTGGATACGTGCGTGTGTGTGTGTAGATACACTTGTGTAGACATTTGTGTATACATGTGTGTACGTGTATACCCAAGTGTGTGTATACACGTGTCTAGTGTGTGCATGTGTGTGTGTGTGTGTGTGCATATATACGTGAGTAGGTGAGTCTGTGTACACGTGAGTAGGTGTGTGTGTGTGTATTACACATATGTGTAGATGTATGTATGTGTACGCGTGTATGGCCTGGGGTTGGGGGAGAGAGTCTGGTGCTAATTTCATGTCCGTTTCCCCCCCACTGCCCCGCCCCACCCCATCCTCTCCCCCCGCCCGCCCCGGCAGGAGTTCCCGCTCGCTGTGCTCAGGAGGACGGAATGCTACTGCGGGTTTCCCACCCTCGGCTTCACGCTGCACCAGACCGAGAGCGACTGGCTGTGCGGCAAACTTCCCGGCGAGGCTCCGGCACAGCTCCTGGGCAACGAGGATTACTGCGCCATTTATCAGACTCCCGTGCAAGGTGACAACTCAGCGCCTCCCGGCTCAGCCTGACTGCCAGACCCGCGCTCGCCTACTTTGAAGGCACGTCTCAAGACCCTCCTCTTCCACCGCGCCTTCGGTCACCTTCCTACCCCTACCCTCCCCACCCTCCGCCCCTCCTGGTCCCAACCCCCAGCCAGGGTCCAAATCCCTGTCCGACCAGCGCCTTGGGACGTCCTGAGATCAGATTGGACCAAAGGGTGGGTTTCTTCATCCCACCCACACCTCACCCACCGCCCTCCCCACACACACACACCCCCACCCCCACCTCCCAACCCTGCATTAGAAATCACCGCATGCTCCCTCCCTCCCTCCCTCCCTCCNGAGAGAGCGAGTGAATCACTCACCGCTGAGTCGGGAGAGAAAAGCAAAAATCGTGCAACGACACAAAATGTCTCCCTCCGCTCCTTTCCAGACACCCGCTGCACGGACAGGAAGTTCCTACAGACCCGGGCGAAGATCATGGTGGCTCTCTCCAGCTTCCCGGGGGCTGGCAATACGTGGGTTCGGCATTTGATCGAACACGCCACGGGCTACTACACCGGCAGCTACTATTTCGACGGGACGCTCTACAACAAAGGTACCCGTCGCCGCACACGCCACACGGGGGTAGAGAGAAAATAATAACATAACCCCTCGCCTTTTGTCACAGCGCCCGATCACGTCGTCGAGACGTCTCAAAGCGCCTCCCGGGGTTTTCGTCGCAAAAAAGCGCGTAATGTCGCCAGTTCGCTCACAGCGGCGTCCAGCAAACAGCCGTGGCCAGCTTTACCCACCCCTTCCCGGTAAAATCCCGCGAGGGGCCTTCGCGAGGTCACCCTTCAACGTGAAACGCCGGCTCGCGCAGGGAGTGACGTCGGCAGCGATCCGAGGACCCGGAAGCGCTGAACGGTGGCCATTTTTATTTTTAGTCTCCGCTCTTAAGGCGAGACGTGAGCTGACGGGGCGCCAAAGGGTCGTAACGGTGGGGAGGGCGAAGGGTGGGCATTTATCCGAACGAGACGGGCTGGTCTCCGGCGGTGCCCTCTCGTGCCCTGGCATTGTTGCCTAAGCGCTCCGAGACGCTACCCTGTGTGGAGGGCCCTCTATATAAGTGCAAGTTGTTGTTGTTGTCGTTGGACATTTTCCTTTGCTCTCACCGCTAGGCTTCCGGGGGGAGAAGGACTACTGGAAAAGCGGCCGGACGATCTGCGTCAAAACCCACGAGAGCGGCAAACGGGAAATCCAAACCTTCGACGCAGCCATCTTGCTGATCAGGAACCCTTACAAGGCCCTGATGGCGGAGTATAACAGGAAGCGAGCCGGTCACCTGGGCTACGCCTCTGAACACCACTGGAAGAGCCAAGGTGAGCTGCAATACCGAGAACTGGGGCCTTGAATCCACGACCTTCTGACTCGGAGGCGAGAGCGCTACGGGCCGAGCCGCGGGCTGACATACTGAGGCCAGGCGTGACTTTATGGAGCTTCCCAGTGTGAGGGGGAGCCGGTGAGGGCTCAGAGTTTATCTGAACATAAGAATTTGCTGGACAAAGGAGGACCAAGGTCCATTCCTGGCAGTCAGTCACCCTCCAAGCGCATGTCATTTGATACAGCGCCTTATCACGTCTCAAAGCCCTTCACAGGATACATTGTAAAGCGAATTGACTGTATGTTTTGTGGGCGAAACGCGGCAGCCAATGGCGCACAGCGACGTCCCACAAAACAGTCGTGGAGTAAGGAAACTTGCCCAAAGTTTCGCCCCGCCTGGCCAGGAATCGAACCCGGGTCCTCTCGCTTGCGCTTCTCAGCACTGAACTACAGGCCTCCACTGTGGTTTTTTTTCTCTCTCTGCAGAATGGCCGGAGTTCGTGAACACCTACGCCTCCTGGTGGGCCTCGCACACGCTGGAGTGGCTGAGGCAGGGCAGGCGAGTGCTGGTGGTTCACTATGAGGAGCTGAAGAGGAACCTGCTGGGGGAGCTGCGGAGGATGGTGGGCTTCCTGCAGCTCAGCGTCCCCGAGGAGCGTCTGCTGTGCGTGGAGAGCCATCGCGACGGCAACTTCAAACGCTCCGGGCGCCGGCAGAAGGACTTCGACCCCTTCACGCCCGACATGAAGGCCACCATCGACGGCTACATAATGGCCGTGGACGGTGAGCTCAGGGAAAGGAACTTCACCGGGCTGCCGCAGGAGTACCTGCCCAGGTGAGGGAGGGGTGGGAGGGCAGGCGGGGTGAGGGGGTGAGGGGTGAGGGGTAGGGGGGAGGGGGGGCGGGCTTCACCACGAAAGGCTTTAACCCCCGAGATGCCGTGAGGACGGAGGCTACCTGCTGTGGTCATGAGAACCCAAGAATTTGCTAGGCAGAAGAAGACCAAAGTCCGTGCAGTTTGCCTTCCACCATCCTGATGTCAGGGGTTGAAATCAAGACTCCGCCCACCCCCCCACCACCAACAACCTCCCCAAACCTCCCCCACCCCCCCGTTTCCCCCAATCACCAACCCTCCAAACCCCCCCCCCCACCACCGTGATGTAGGGGAGGGAAATAAACCCTGGAATTCGGGCCTCACAAGCCAATGGACCATTCCATAGGTAAGCCAAGGCTCTCTCCACTCCCAGTCAGACTCACGTGTTTATACGTTAGCGAATGATGTTATTTACTTATTAATATAGTTTAACGGTGCACAAACTTATTTTTTTTGTGACTACACCCAGACGCACAGTGTTTGGTTCGATGGCTTGCGGTAGGACACAAAACTTGTAAATGGGGCTGGGGGTAGTGGGGTGTGTGTGTGTGTGTGTGGTGGGAGGGGATGGTTCAGTCAAGGCCAGAATTATTCTTGTTCTGGAGTTTGCAAGCAAGAGATCCAGCAGCGTTTGATGGGCAAGGACCAACTAAGCGCTTAAATAAAATATGAGGCTGTTTGTGTTTGTTCTGCAAAGACGAGAAGCTGAGGAGGAAATGTACGTAGATTTGAGGGCAAAGAGGGAGTCGGGGAGTGTGGCTGTTGGAGGTTATGAAATGTGATTTTATTCATACAAGAGCAGCTCGAGTTCTCCTCGTTGAAGCGGAACAATATCTGGAATAGTGTGGTGTAAACCCTGACACCCTTTCCCCCCACCCCGTCCCACCACCCCAGCACCCCCACCCCCTCCCCTCAGCCCTCCGCCCCCGGTCAATGTGTGAAGTCCGGTCAACATGTGTCCCCTTGTTCTGGATTCTGTCGCCACATAAACAGAGAGAGAGAGAGACTTCTCACCCCCTCTTGTCGTTCATGTTATATCTCGTCGGCTGATCTGAGCTGTCGAAAGGAAGCACAGTCACTCTCACACTTAGAGCACCCGTTAAGCATCAGTTTCACGGTCTGTCCGGACGCTTGTTACTCCGCACTCCTGCGATGAGAGGTATTTTGATTGACTCGCTGCGTAAATTCGGGTGAACAATGGCTCGAGACGACATGAGCAACGACAACAAATAACACTTGGAGAGCGCCCTTCACGTCGGAAAAAGACATCTTCTCTTGTCGCAAGTCTGAGGAGCGTCAGAATATGCGAGCGTCTGGGATTTAAGGTTAGCTTCTCACTAGGTTTAACACGTAGAGAGAGAGAGAGAGGGTCTCACTTACGTAAGTCCAGAGACATTGGGGTTTGTCCTTTTGTACCGGAAAAGAGTTTATTTTTGTACAATGCATTTTTGTACAGCGGCTTTGAATTGTGTACAACCAAGTAGAAATAAACATTTTGCAAAGAAAAAAAAAACAAAAACAAAATGGAAGCTTTCCTTTGTCTTGAAAAGCGAGGCGTTAAAAGCACCGTCACGCTCTGGAGGGTATAGTGGTTACGCATCGCAAGCGAGAGGACCCGGGTTCGATTCCCAGGCGGGCGGGGCGAAACCTTAGGGACGTTTCCTTACTCCACACGCCTCTGTTTTGCTAGCAAGAAGTAGGAACCCGGTTGTTAGTCGATTGGCGGTTATCTTTCCGGGGGGTAATAATGCCTTCAATAAAAGCTCGGACGCTGCTGTGCGCAATTGGCTGCCGCGTTTCACCCACAAACTACACAGTCAATCCACTTGACAATGTATTCTGCGAAGAGCTTTTGAGACGTCTCAACAACATGCTACAGCCCTATATCAAAGGATTATTATTATCTTCATTAATGCCTCGTATCAGGCAGAACATTTCTTTCTCATTTTTCTTCTATTATTTTTTTTTAAAAACCCGCGATTGACTTGAGTGGAAATCACTCCCTAAACGAACCGAAGCTCTTCTTTATTCTTTTGAAGGAATGCTTGTATCATCAGATTGCCCGCACAGAATGAGGCTCCTGACACACACACACGTGCACACACACACACACACACAGAGTGAGTGAAAGCCAATTACTCGGGAACAACGCAATGTTTCTTTTCCGATGTCTCGTAGTGTGTGTGTGTTTTTTTTTTTGTTTCAATCGTTGAAGGACCTTTCTGGTCCAACTGGGCCTCGACCGACAAAACCCATTTCTCTTTGAATTTCTAACCGTGCTTACGTGTTCAGTTCCAGCTGTCTTTCGTTCAGGAAGCAGTTTAAGGGCTTTGGAAGGGGTTTGCGATACCAGGGATGAGGGACCTTAATCCTGGGGATGTCAAACTAAGTCTGCCCTCCCTCAACCCCATCTGCGCCCACTCAGGTGGATGTAAAAGGTTTCCGCGGCCCTACTCGGAAAGAGAAGGGAGCTTCTCTCTTTCGGTGTCCTGGCCGACAAGCCTCCAAATAGAATCGGTCACTCACTCCGTGGCTGTTTGTGGGACGTTGCCGTACGCAAATTGACTGCCGGGTTCCACTCGAGAATTCACGCTTTACAGTAAATCCTGTGACGCGCTTTGAGATAAGGCGCTGTATCAAATGCAAGGATTATTATTATTCTATTGAATTATTCTAAAAGGTTTATGTCCCTGACATTGATTTTTTTTATGTCAAGTGTACACCCAAGGCTACATAACCTCAAAGACACACACACACGCGCATATTATATAAAAAAAAGCCACATCTGCTTCGATTCAAGCTGCAATGCTTCTAAGGGTCACCTTAGCTGTTAAAGCTTTCAAGTCAAGAATGATTCCCGTGTCCTTCTGAATTAGAACATATCCCGCTGAAAGTAAGGCAGACCTTGCTGCTCCCGCGATGGTGTCACAAGTCGTCAGCGCTGAAGAAACGTAACCTTGCTGAGGATGAATGGATGGGAGTCTGAGCCACTCGAACGGCGTTTAAATACTCGAGACGCTTTATTGTTTGGACAGGCCGTGTGTCTGATGCGTGCAGATACTCATCACCGAGCTTAAGAGCATTCGAACCAAACTGGGAGTTCCGCGCATCCCACCTACACGTGGGTGGAAATTCCCGTGTGTTGTTAATGCACCGTAAACTCTCTCTTGTCCAACTGGAGGGACGCACCTTGCTTATCTAATACCGGAGAGCGTTAGCGGAGGCTTGGGGGGGAAACCCAGAGTGTGCGTTAGGGTACCTGCTATTAATAATAATCATTTGATACAGCGCCTTTTCAAAACGCTTCACAGAATATACCGTAAGGTGAATTGACTGCGTATTTTGTAGGCGAAACGCAAACAGTCGTGGATTGAGTGACCAAGTTATTAGTATTTATCTATGCTGGAGTCCAACCGGCTAACAAAACACACAGCCTGGTAAGCTTTCCCCGGCTGCAGCTTTGTCTTAGGAACTGATCATTAACCTGGAGGCTGTTGGAAGATGCTGGTGTGTGGATAAGATCAGACTCGGCTGCCATTTCCCCTCTAGCTGAACAGCTTGTCGTGTCACCGTTCGCTGCCTAGACTCGTATACAGATAATGGACATTGAGCGACGTACCAGAGGGCACTTACCAAACTACTAATAACAACGACGATCCTTACATTTGATGCAGAGCCTTTCAAGTCGAGAATTTACTGTAAAGAGTAGCCCGACTGTGTATTTTGCAGGTGAACGCAGCAGCCAATTTGCGCTCAGCGACGTCCCACAAACAGCCGCATAGCGAAATGTCTATTTCCAACCAATTACGTGCTTTAAAAAAAAACGACTCGAGCCGAAAAACAAGCCTGCACGAGAGGAAAACGGACATAGAGAAAAACATTTTCAATTATGATTCTATCCGCGATAAAATTTGCATATTGTTGGTAGTAACCTTTACTTTTTTTTCTTCGCGGGCAAAGCGTGCAGATGAAGATCTTTGGTAGGTTAAATCGCTGCTGCAGTATTCGCGCTGCGGTGTTTGTGTTCCATCGTGACATTTTTCCACATGAATATTAATGGCACCGACCCCATTTACAATTCAAAAATGTACTTCGTTGGTTTTAACCGTATCGATATTTGTCCCCTATCCACACTCGCCCCCCCCCCCACCCCCTCGTCCTGCAGTGTTAAGACCTTTAAGCGCTCCACGACACTACCCTACTTGAAGAACACTTTCTAAATGCGGATTGTGGTTGACTGGTCAATGTTGACTGGTCTACGGAAAGTCACCAGTCAACACTACTTTGGTCAATGCTCCGTCATTGTTATACACAGGGAATCCCGTACTGTAGTGGTTAGCGCACTCACCTCTCAAGCAAGAGGACCCCGGTTCAATTTCCAGGCGGGACGAAACCTCAGGCAAGTTTCCTTACTCCACACGCACCTAGCAGTAAGTAGGAACCTGGTTGTTGGTCGATTGGTGGATCGCTTTCCGGGGTTAATAATCCCTTCCTCCAATTAAAATGTGGTCACTCAATTCACGAGTGTTTGCTGGACGCTGCTTTGCGCAATTGGCTGCCGCGTTTCGCCCACAAAATACGCAATCGATCCACTGTGCATTATATTCTGTGAAGCACTTTGGGACGCGATAAGGCGCTGCATCAAATGCAGGGAATATTATTATTCTTGTTAAAGGTGTCGTTTTATCGAACGTCGCAGTTGAACCCCCCCCCAAGCAACGAAGAAAGGAGACAATTGGCTCGGTTGAATAGGTAGGTCGTCAGGATGGATTCACAGGTACAGGTGAAGTGGAGGCGGAGGGATTGAGGGAGGGAGCTCCTGAGGTTAGGGACATAGGGGCTGAAGGCACGGTCACCAAAGGTGGACGGAAGGAGGTCTTGGGGGAGTGACAATTTTTGCCCACAAATATAGTCAATTCACTTCACATTACATCCTGTGAAGCGCTTTGAGACGTCTTGAAGACG